CCCTGGCACATAACAAAATCATTAAATCTAAGATGCCTCATTTGACAGATGTCCCATTAAATTCATCTCAAAGTTGTGCTAAGAGATGCTGAAAGGAATAATTTGGGGGGCAGGGGGAGGAGGAAAAAAAAGAAACAAAACACCTGTTAACACCAAGAAAGCTTTGGGAGAGAACTCTCTTAAAACCCACACAGCACTCATTCCGGTGAAAGAGATGGTATTAACGTGAGGAACTATCTCAACCTTGCCATGGGAGAAATGCCCCTGTGTCGATGTGTGTTTAACATACCCCTTGGGGACCCAAGCAGGATGAAGACACAAGAGTCAAAGCACACACCACCAGCTGTTTAACAAAATTCCACAAATTCAACCCAACACATGTTTACCCTACAATGCCAAGTATTTAACTAGACTTGGATCACATACAATGCCAATGAGCACCACATAATCAATAAACCAGATACTAATGCACAGGATTCCAAGAAGAAAAAAAAAATGAGAAACAAACAAACAAAAAAAATCACCTTACAATTTTAAAAAGATCTTTGGATAAGCAATCTTGGAGGTGGATACTTTACAATCTTATAGTAACAAAAATGGATACAGTGTAACCTGAAGCCTTATACAAGCTCATTTATGCCCACACCCTCCCATTCACATTCTTTTAGTAAGCACTGGTTTTAAAGATGCACAATTTAAGGAACAACATATTCAGAGAGAACAACTTACTCTCCAAGTCTACATAACATATAAATGATAAAAACTGTACAACAGTTTGGTGGCTGCCATAAAGAACTATCTCCACAGCACAAATAAGTGTGCTTTTTAAAACACGTTTATTGTGCAACTAGATGTTTCATAATGCGTATTCTCAGTATTTTACAAGTTAGGCCTTTTTTTAAAAAAAAAAAAAAAAAAAAGACCTGAACTGCCACATCTTCACATTCAAAAGTTATGTACTTCTCAGATAAAGTGTCAATTCTCTACTTCCTACTTGAAATGTACACTTCCATAAATAAGGCATGACTGCAAAAGGGAATAAAGAATCATTATATAAACTTGATTTCATATCAACTTAACTGTAAGGGTAAATACTTGCAATTGGAATATTTAGAGCACTTTAGTACACTTTCTTAATGGCTCCTTATATTTGCCAAACAGGTCTTTTACAGTTTTAAAGGCAGCGTGATAAAAATAGAACCATACACATTTCACAAGGAATACCACTTTGGACTACACCACAGTATCACCTCATTACCAACAAAAATAGCATATTTTCTGAGTGCTTTTAACCAAGTGAAAGATTCAAGTGTAAATGAAATTCAGCTTCGATTCATGGAAAGTGATATGAATTGCAAAACAGACTATCCCAGCCAGTATTCTCAGCTCTGCCAGGAGCTGAAAAAGCACCAGCAAGAGTCAGGCCTCTCTCTGCCCATTGCTTTCTCCATGTGACGAGAAGATTGACGTGGACTCCGCCCTAGTAATGTTTTTGAAAGGACAAATGAGATAATTTCCCCAAACGCCTTGTAAGATTTTTGAACACAATAAAACCCCAAGTAGCATAGATGCCAGCCACCAAACCATAGTCAAAGAAGAAAACAGACGCTGTGTTTTCTATAAAAGCCACAAACCTAAAATATATAAAATAAGTACACCCAAGGGGGGCAGGGAGAATAATTAAAACCCTTTGTTCTTAAAATTTAAAAGACTGCTCAAGCACACACGGGTGTCACATGCCCTCACCATGTTACTCAATACAGCTGTAATTATTGTAATAAGAACCTGCTTGTCAATATTACAGCCTAATGCTGAACGACCCCTTCTTGGTTTCCATGGAGGAAACCGTGGAAGGTTTGCTCACTCCCAGAAGAGAAAAGGAGAAGAAATATGAGAGTGTAGAGAGGTTGTTCTCTGAGCAATCCAAAGAGTGACACATAAAAACAGCTTGTCCAAGATTCACCCAGCACAGCTGAGGTGCTGTGTGCTGCCAACACCCTTTCTCATCATTAAAACTTGAACTCAGCGAGTGAGATAGTGCTAGACTTAAAAATCAGTGGAGAGAAATCAAAAGCAGAAGAAAGGAAAAAAACAAACCACAACCGTATCATTTACTACGATCTCATTCATAGCCAATGGGCTCTCAGCAGAGTCCAGGGAACAAGCTCATCACGTGGAGGAGTCCCTGAGTGAATGTCAGGCGTTTGCCAATTCCTTTTTAACGTAAAATTTAAAATGACTTAGGTTAAAATTTAGGTCTGACTGTAAAAGGAAATGTACATTAGCACACTTATTTTTTTTTTTGTTTTAAAAGAAGCCATTCAAATACTTTTTCTTATTTTACACCAGCTAAGAATACAGTTGATTGACAGCTGCAATAACAGTTTTCAGAAGTACGTTTTCAGGGACAGCTCTGTAATTAGAAGGGCCTTTCATCCGCCTGCCTCCTAGTTCATTAAGAACTTTCATTTTACTTTGCCCAAATAAAAAGCTAAATGTCCAGAGTGGCTCCAAATGTCTTGTAAAGTCTTTAAAGGATAACTTGAGTTAAGTTATAAATACAAAAAGGAAAAAAAATTAATTGAAAGATGATCCATAGAGAACGAAAGTTGTCTGCTGGATAATAGTTTCTCCAAAATAAAAAACAAACAAAAAACCAACACAGAACCAACAACAACAAAAAAAAACAGACTAGCTTAGCCAGACAGACAGCAGGGCACAGGCTCCATTTTAACACTTGAAAATATTCAAAAGACTTCAGAGGCAACTTCCTAGTTTCCCCTTAACCCCAACTATCCAATAAATATGTGGCAGCAATAAATTTAAGAAGCTACATATGAAATTCTGAAAACAACTGAGACATAGAATGCTGTATGTAGCATTCTTAGAGCATGTCACCTCAAACATATATTAATCGTCCTCTCCCTAAATAAAATAATTACCATCAAAAGGTAACATCCTCCCAGTGGGGCGCCCACCCCAGCATACCAGGGGAGAACAGGGGGAATCTCTAGACTCTCATCCAGCTGGTGTAACCCTTCACCGCATGGAGGGGACATCCTGACAACCTTTCTCACAGCAAGTGAGACTAAGCTCAAACAAGGCCTTTTTGTTCTTCAATAATGAAACTTCCTTGTTACACGTTCAAGTGGACTGGCCATATGCTAGGTTTTGTTCCAGGGCAAAGGCGTATCAATACAAAGAAGTTTGCTATATTAACGTTGAAAATTTAAGCCTACAGCAAACCCAAGTTTGTATTAAAAGCAAAATGGACCATTAGACATCTTTATAACAATAAGCTGGCCTCCTTCTAGGACACTAGGATTGATTCAAGTTCAAGAGCAGGCTGGACACTGTGTGAGCTGGTCCTGTGTTAAACAGTTAATATAAGTACACAGAGAGACGTATGTACACTTATGCTGTGTGTGATACAGAAGGAAAAGAGTTGGAATGAAGAATCAAAAAAGGCTTTCCAGAAAAAGTAAAACATAAAGATTAAAATGGCTACATTAGCAATGTCAACAGAGATAGCACTTCTTAAAGAGCAGTCTATCAAAAAACAAGAAAGCTGCATACTAACCGCTTAGATTATCTTAAATACTCTGAGAAAGACCAAAGAGAATCAAAGATGTGAAGTTCATGGTGTACCACCCAGAACCTTTCCCTTGGATATTTTATTCTGCTGGATCAACAGATACCAACCAAAGTAAACTTTTAGAGCTCTCTGCCCAGAAAATAGATCCAAATATTGTTTATTTATTATACTTGTGGTTTATTCATATTTCCTTCAATGTAAGAATTTGGACCTAAGTGCATTTGCCACTCTCACATTAACAAAATAAACATTCTTGTCCCACTTGTGAGTACAATTTAATGTGCTTCTGTGAAAGTAACAATATTTTACAAATTACATGAGCTACATAGCTGTTGCCCCTACATGAAAAATCACCTATTTCCTGGACCATAAACTTTAAGAGGCATGCCATCCCACTGAGAGCTTATGCTCAGATACTGCACACGATAATATATTATGATTTGATTTTCTTCCTCAGGCAGAAAAATCCGTCAGAAAGCCACTGAGGAATTTCACAGCAACTCCAATGGCACATAAGTGAAGATCTTGCCAGAAAGGCTACCCAGTCTTGCCTATTTCAGGGTGCAAGTAAAGAGCTATTCATCAACGGACCACACTGCTCTAAGAGCACAAGCTGGACCAAAATAAAGCACTGTGTTTGAAAAATGCTACAGCCCAATCGAGTTCCAGATAGGACCACGGCTCTCTCCACCTACACCCCGGAATAAGTAAAAGCGGGGGAGACTGAACTCTCCTGATTTAACGGTGCTGTGCTAACTTGAGCTGAAATAAAAATGCTGCTTCGAAGCGCAGAGGTCTACAGCGCAGAAAGTGTGAGCACCTGACAATGTTCAACTACAACAACCAGGACCCACATCCCCCTCTGTGGGCACCACCTGGGCCTTCTTCAGACCAGAGAGCCACAGGACACAGGTCACCCCAGCCAAGAATCTCACCAGGGGTTGAAGAAACTGGGGGGAGAGCCCATTCTTCTATGACCACAGTCAGTGAGGAGGAAAGAAAAAGCAGAACGGGGCGGGGTAGGAATCACTTCTGATACAAGAATAAAACCTGCAAGGGAAACTGGCATAAGGCAACACAGGGCTTTAAAGTGTCACCAAACGCCGCTGGGGGCTCCGCGGGCAAACAAGCAGAGGCTGAAGGAGCGCCGGGGCGCAGGTGGCCATGGTGGCAGCGGGCTAGGCTGGGCAGCATGTGCCACTGCATTTTCCATTTCTCGGTGGGAGCACGTGCACGTGCTGCTTTACTGAAATCTCAACTACAGCCTGCCCACGAGAAGAGGACTCTCTCTCCACTGCCAGGTGACCTATCCCCTCGGCCCCCGCGTGCGTGCACTCGGCAAGCGTCCCCCACCTGGCTCCTGGCAGCTGCGCCCAGGTCGCAGGCCCCGCAGGTGAGCCCTTACCTGCGTAGAAGCGGATGAGGCAGCCGATCTCGGCGTCCATGCCCTCCTCCTGCACCCGCCACAGCTCCCCGAAGCCCAGCTGGAAGAGGTAGTCATTCTGGATCTGCAGGGGCTTCTCATGCGCCTCCAGCCGCCGGGTGGTCTCGCCGTGGAGCTGCACGTACAGGGTGGGCGGCAGGCTGGTCCTCTCGGCGGCCGCCCTCTCCTCCC